GGCAACCATGTGGCCGAAAACAAAGGAACACACACTATACACAGGACTGGGACATTCACATGTACACCCTGTACCCTAACAGGCACAGGGTCACTTAAACATAAGAATTTGGGAGGATGATACAGAGGTCCCCCCACCCCCATAAGTCACTCATGTCACAAAGACAAACTTGTCAAATGTGTATATAAATACATAATATAAACCTATCATATAATACGAATATAAATGCAATACTTTTTGCATTTCGCTTTGCGTTTTTACACACACGTTCTTCCTGCGGTTTGCTTTTTTTTGCTTTTTAAAGGGGACATTTTTTTGTTGCTGGGCAGAATAAAAAAGCAAAACACGGCAAAAACACACTATATGCATTTCAGCAGTGTCTCCATTGAACTCTATTGTAGATGCTTTTTGTGTTTAAAAAAGTCCCTGACACTTCCCAAAAACGCAGCTGCTGAAAAAAGCATAGATGTGAACGTGTCCCATAGGAAACCATGTTAAATGGACTGTAGTGCGTTTCTGCAAGAAGCACTAAAAAGTCCATTGGCGTGAACCAGGCCTTAAAGTGCACAGCAGAAGCATTGTAGTTATTGAAGCTGTTTCTCAGCAGTTAGCTTCTAGGCTGCTAGGGCACTACTAACACGGGGAAGCAGAATGAGCTACGTTGAGAAAACAACTTTAACAACAGTGCTTCTAATGTGAACTTTGAGGATGAACTGCTTCACAGTGCCTGCATTTATAGTAGTCAGTGAGGCCTTATTTTCAAACTCATTTACCATTAGTTAAGTATATGCAAATATGTGAATTGTGAGCAGACTTACCTTAACCTCCCTGGCGGTATTCCCGAGTGTAGCTCGGGGTAAGGTTTCAGTACCACAAGCGGTAACCCCGAGCTACACTCGGGAATACCATGCGGCGCTGCTCCGCGATCCTGTATCACTTACCTTGTCCTGCGCTCCCACGATGTTCCTCCTGCAGTGTCCCCGACAATGTAATCCGGCGGATGCCGGCATCTGTCATCTGGGTTCCGTCCCCTGTGAGCGTCGGGACGTACGGGGGACGGAACGGCGGGAAAATCAAAAATGACAAAAAGTGACATTCACTAAAATCACTAAAATCACATAGTAAAACATTACTGTATCAAACCATTTCACATACATTTTGTCCCGGGTGCTTTGTCCTGTGATCTGCCTGCATTTTTACTGTTCTTATTGCCTGGAAACTGAGAAATGTCCATGGCGTCCAAAAAGCGTCCCTTTAGGTCAAAAGCGGTTTTAGACCGGCTAGAGAACAGCGATAGTAAATCAGAACCACTTGCAGAATTGAGTGATAATGATTTGTGGGGAAATTCGTCATCAAACAATGAAAACGATTTTGCGACTTTGCTCAGCGATGTGCGAACTTGGCGGACTATTTCATATTTAAGTGTTTTTGGTTTGATTATATTATTAAATTAAATTTATTATTATTATATTATTATTTTTTATGATTATTTATTAAATTATAATTTATAATTTAGTGTTTCAAATTTTAACATACCCGGGATGTTTACTAGACTCTTGTTCGGACAGATTTCAGTGAGTTATTCCTAAAAATTACAGCCCTACAATAAAAAAAAAACATATTTCCATGCAAAAAAATGGTACCGCTTTCAGCACCAAAAATCTGAAATAATCATACCGCCAGGGAGGTTAATACTGACTTTTCTGATCTCAACGGTTGTTCTTATTTAGTGTCTCAGAGACAGCCAGGCATCCAGAATTATCAAAAGAAGGTAAGCAATAAAAGCCCCATAATTACCTCAGTTTAGATTTCTTTTGTCAGAGTTGGATGACCAGTGGTATGTTTATACTACCTTCACCACCAACTCGCTTCTATCATGGAATGTAGAATATGTACAGGATTCAGAAACTATTTCATTTTTGAATCAGTACTGACCTGAGCTCATGTTGACCATCAGATAATCCTAAAGCTGATCTCAGAGCGCCACCCCTCCCCCACCCTCTTCTAACCAAACACTGTCAACATGCCTACCTAAAATGCCCCTTTTACACACCAAAATGTACAGTTATGTGATGTTACAGACCCGAGTTTTCACTTTTCTGTTTACAAGAGGTAGGTTGCTTTTGGTTGTCATTATCAATGCCTGCATGTAAGGGGACACATCTTATTTGCTGTCCAGTGGTGGGGTCCATGTCACTGCCTGCATGATGTATGCACTTCCTTTAGGCTTTCCAGTGGTAAGGTCCTCTTTTGATCTAGAGGCTCTAAAGGGACTGTCAGTGCCCTCATCACCGCCATATGCCATACCAGCACCCTGATCATCGCCATACGCTATACCAGCACACTGATCATCACCATACACCATACCAGCAACCTGATCACCTCCAGACCAACATCCTGATCACCGCCATACTCCATACCATCATCCTGATCACGACCATACCCCAGACCAGTGTACTGATCATCACCATACTCCATACTAGCATTGTGATCACCACCTTACTCCATACCAGCATCCTGATCACTCGATATGCCATACCAGCATTCTAATCACCGCCATATCAGCATCCTGATCAATGCCATACCTCATGCGAATGTCCTGATCACTGACATCGCCCATATCATCGTACTGATCACTGCCATACATCATACCAGTATCTGGCATATTTGGGTCCCAACTGATCAATTATCAAAAATATATCCCAATTATCCCTATTTTTTAGAATCTATAGCTTTCATACAGACTAAATATTATACACTGTTTTGGGTTATTTGTACCAAGAAAATGTAGAAGAATACATTTTTGCCTAAATTTATAAGGAACAACTACTTATTTCACAAACTTCATAACAAAAACTAAGCAAAAAAAAATTTTTTTTCAACACATTTTTGGTATTTTTTCATTTATATAGCAAACAATCAAAAATCCAGTGGTGATCAAATACCACCAAAAGAAAAAAAAGTATAAAAATATTTCATATGGGACTACAGTGTTGCATGACTGAGTAATTGTCACAGAAAGGGTGATAGTGCTGAAAAACTGAAAATCGCCTAGACTGGAAGAGGGTGAAAGTGTTCAGACTTGAAGTGGTTAAGTAAATTCCAGATTTACCAGACTACAAACCCAGGCTTAATCATCAGTGTATCAGTCTGATGTCAGTGATATTTGATTTTTTTCCAAACTATCAAGACTACATTAAAAACCACACGTGGTTCACCAAAGCGTGGCATGTTTTACTGTGTACAATAATTCATATTCATACATTTTTATTTTAATGGGTAGTGGAGCACTATGGAAATCGTGTCATTAATTTGGACGTTTTTCACCAATACCTTTAGGAGAAGTCATCATTATCCTCATATTGCCTACTAATTGAACTGAGGCACTAAGGAATCTCACTAGAACATTATGTTACTACCAGCACCATTAAGAGAATATGAATCAATTCTCTCTGTTCATCTGACACAATTAAAATGCTCGAGATAAATGTAAAACTTTAAATTAAGGTCATCCACACAAGACCTATTTAGCTGGAGCACATTCATCATTCGTGCTCATATATTAAAATAGTTATGATTCTTTTATACATAGGTTTCGAAGAGAAGACAGATTGCTTCAATGCATAAGGAGTGGGGAATATTTCAAAGGTTCACTGGGAATATCATGTTATATATTTTATTTCATGTTCTAGATTGTATAGAGGAATGTTAATTTTCCAATTATGTTCATTAATATGGACAATTCCACAGTGTGAAATCTTAATCAAAATCAGCATGTTACCAAAACATTTTTTATTTCCCAATGCATAGGCTTCAGGACTATGTCTTGGCAAACTGTAAGTCATATTAAATTTCAGAAATATTCCAGAGCTAAGTATGGAGTAACATAAAGAAATGAAAATGTAGAGTGAATACATACGTTGTATGAACATTATCTTGTGTATATATACTAAATATATATATATATATATATATTATATATACAGTATGTTGTCTACTTACCTTCCTGGCAGGCAGTTTGTTAAATCTTCACTGCATAGCAATGGTTACTACTGCTACCTTGTCTATTGCTTACTGGCTGTGACTACCATCAATATTCTCTCAGACACTTACCAAGATCAAGCATGCAGATCAAAAAATTAAAAGTTAGGGCTCATGCACATGACGACCTGAAGCTGTACAATATAGGGTTTGGCTGATTTCCTTGCCCTGCGCTGTCTGTGCTTTTGGTTTTATGTTTGTACACCTGCGTTTTTTTTTTTGTTTTTTTTGTTTGCTGGTATACCCACATACAGCAGCATACAGCCATTTGTGTCTGTGGGGTGTTTTTTGGGAAAATACACCCAAACTTTTAGTCATATGGCACCAGGCAACCATGTACATAACGCCTTAATGGGATGATCCTTTTTCTCTTCTAAGGTTTTTTTTCTGTCATTCTTTGGATGTCCACATCATTACCTGCATTATGACTTTTATCCATTAAACCTCAGGATGGCTTAGGAGGAGGTGTCTGCAATCAAGACTTAGGAGTAAAGTACCATATTTTCCGGCGTATAAGGTGACTGGGTGTATAAGACGACCCCCTAATTTTCCAGTTAAAACATAGGTTTTGGGCTATACTCGTCGTGTAAGACTACCCCCATTCTGAGGCAACACCATTTAACCCCTAGCCTACAGGGCACTTATACCCACTTCCCCCCAGGCCAATTTTCAGCTTTCAGCACTGTCACACTTTGAATGACAATTGCGCGGTCATGCAACACTGTACCCATATGAAATAGGTGGCACTGATGGGCACTGACAGGCATCACTGATGGGCACTGAAAGGCAGCACTGATACATGGCACTGATATATGGCACTGTTAGGCGGCACTGACTGGCACTGTTAGGCGGCACTGACTGGCACTGATAGGTGGCACTGATAGGTGGCACTGACTGGCACTGATAGGTGGCACTGACTGGCAGCACTGGTAGGTGGCACTGATGGGCATTGACAGGCATCACTGATGGGCACTGAAAGGCAGCACTGATACATGGCACTGATAGGCGGCACTGACTGGCACTAATAGGTGGCACTGATTGGCATTGATAAGTGGCACTGACTGGCACTGATGGGTGACACTGAAAGGCAGCTCAGATGGGCACTGATATGTGGCATTGATGTGCACTGGTAGGCACTGATATGTGGCATTGATGTGCCACTGATGGACACTGACAGCTGGCACTACTGGGGCTACACTGATCATCAGGGTACACTGATCATCAGTGCCCTGATGATCAGTGTACATGTCCCCTCCGCGGAATGCAGATTACCATCTCTCCTCTCCTCTGTCAGCGTGACAGCTCGAGAGGAGAGAAATGCCGATAACCGGCATTTCCCTGTTTACATGTGATCAGCTGTGATTGGACACAGCTGATCACATGACCGAGCCGACATCTTCGGCTCTTTCCGTGATCGGTGATCCACTGTGTCCGAGGGACACAGCGCATCGCCGCGCATGCGCAGAAAATGGGAGGACGTCATATGAGCCAACCATGGCAAGTGATGTATTCTATTAATGAATATAGAGCCTGCTCGGATTGGCTGCATCAGAGAGGGCGGGCTGATGATGTCACAACTGCAGCCAATCCAAGCAGGCTCTGTATTCATTAATAGAATACACCACTCGCCGTGATCGGCTCAGCGCGGTACACTGTATGTAGCTATAGCTACCGTACAGTATTACCGCACATCCAGCGGTTCTATACCCGGCGTATAAGACGACCCCAATTGCTGGGGTATGTTTTTAAGTAAAAAAAGTCATAGGCCAGAAAATACGGTAATTGTTATACAATACACTATGGGCAGCACAGTGGCTAAATGGTTAGCACTTCCGCCTGGCAGTACTAGGGTCGTTGGTTCGAATCCCAGCCACGGCACCACCTGCCTGGAGTTTGCATGTTCTCCCTGTTCCTGTGTGGGGTTTCCTCCAGGTACTTCGGTTTCCTCCCACACTCCAAAGACATGCTGGTAGGTTCATTGGATCCTGTCTAAATTGTCCCTAATATGTGTATGTATGAATGTAAGTTAGGGACCTTTGATTGTACACCCCTTGAGGGTTAGGACTGATGTGAATGTACAATATATATATGTAAAGAGCTGCGTAAATTGACAGTGCTATATAAGTACCTGAAATAACTAAAATAAAAAATACACTATTTAAATTTCATTTTTGTCTGGAGATGGGCTCTATAGTCATTATCCTGCTTTCCCCTTCAAGCAGTGGCTCAGTAGCCCTCCAGTCTTCCAAACTCTACTGTAAATGCAGAGGGGGCAACAGAGTGAGCTGAGCTGCTAAGAGAACCATATTTACTGTCGCTGTGAACTTTGAGGTTGAACGACTCCACACCACCTGCAGCTACAGAGTTGGGGCATGTTTCAAAGCTTATTCACTGCTTATTAAGAATCTGTAAAAATGTTACTGTCTACAGCCTGTTCACCTGTTCACTTGCTGTGGCAACTCGAGATTTTTGAAGCCTACTGTATGCATCAGATGAACCAGTGTGGTTCCCTGATTTGCAAGTTAAGTTGGGGGCCTTGCTGGTCAGATAGAGGACTGATGGAGTAATGTATGAGTAGAGGAGTAAGAGGAAATGATAGCTGTTATTGGTCACTTCAGTCTTTCTACTTTTAAAAAAATACACTGCATTTTGTGAAACAAGCACCAAAGTCATAAAGCCATAAAGTGTATGCCTTTTTGGCTATGGATCAGATATTTGGGCACCATAGCATTCTGTGAACTTTCAAACTGACAGCTGTATAAAGAGAAGCTCCAAACACAATTTTAGAGGTGCCTATTTAAGACTTCCTGCCTTTCAATCTAGCCCTCAACCCAGCTATTTCCCAAGTCTTATCTAAAGCTTTATTATTAGTACCTAAACTCTGAAGAGCCAATACCTGAGAGTGCCAAACATGGCTACACTCACTGATTTAGCAAACTGATGCCTGGTAAGACACATATGACCACATATGCCTGGCAATCACTTTAAGCAATCTACTTTTATATGAAATGCCTTTTCTATCATATTTTAACCAGGCTGTGTCTATTAAAACCTTATAGAAAAACCTCATATTGTTAACAGTTTAAAGCTAAATAGCTAGCGTTTTTTTGGATGTCAGAATTAAAGATGACCCTTGCCTTTTTTGCCTGGTTACATTTGCACAATCATGACTGACATCAAATCGCTACCACTTGCCTAATACTAAGAATAAACAGATCACCCTAGCAAAAAAGTTGCCAGTTTGCTTCATTTAGATTTCAAAGTAAAAAGGAAAGGGTGGTAAATGATTTGTGCTGAACTGTGTCTTGTGTTACACTCCCATCTGTTTCTAATTTAATTTTTTTTTCTGTGACACCTCAGTAGACTTAATACAGTCACTAGTATGGTAGTCGGTACCCAGCGTGAGTTTTCTATGGGATTTTACTAGATTAAAGCAATTTTCATCCTTAACATTTTGGCTGCATGACTGTTTCACAGCAAGGTCCCAACTCAGAATTCTCTTGAGTCTAGTCATGACCCAGAACACGAAGTGATGGTATTCAATTAAACCGTCTCCAACATGTTTTTCTTGGCTACTCAGTGATGTGTTCAGCAGACACATATTAATTGCTGTTTGTCTTTGAAACAGAAACAAATAACCTTAGAAAACATTTTGTGTTAGGGACGGTTCACACCACAAATTCTGTTTTTCAGATATATTTCTGCTAGCATGTTTTTGATGCGTTTTTGATGTGTTTTACTGTGAATTTGATGCGTTTTTCCCCTCTCTTTTTTTTTCAAATTCTGTATTTTGAAAACAGCAGTTTACAGTAGTATAAGACATTGCAGTAAAGCAAATAAAGTACAACCAGAGTACAAAAGTAATCTGTGGACCTCCCAGCAATTGTATCAGACACCCGGTATCACACATGAAGTCCCTGAAGACATCCGGAGTCTCTGGAAGTTGGGAGTCCAAAGAACAATGCTGGGCTGAGATCATCATAGTGATCGATAACAGTGGAGGACATTGCTGAGCACATTTTCTCCTTTCTTTGAGAGAAAGGGAAAGGGGAAGAGAGAAAAAAAAGGGGGGGGGGGGGTGTAATGAAGGATTACAAATGTACCCAGAGCGAAAGGGACACCCGTGTCTAAACGCTGGCAGGACTTCTGACTTCGAGAAAGACTTTCCTTCTTCTGAGATGATGAGACGACTAGACGTTTTGATATACACCTCACGTTTATGTTGGTTCATCAACACAAGATCCTCCATTAGATTCAGCTCCTCAAACTTTTTAAGCCAGAGCCCATTGGACGGAGGCTGCGGGTCCCTAGATCTAAAGGGGATACATGATTTGGCAGCATTCAGAATGTGATGCAGGATTGATCTTTTGTAGATCTTTGGTGGTATGTTAGTAACATGAAGGAGAAAAAATGCTGGATCATCTGGGTTTTCCCCTCTTTTCCTTCATCTCAATTCAGAACATATGCGTTTCTGTGTATTTTGATGCATTCTGCCATATTCCAGATGCGTTCTATACAGAAACAAAATGCAGCATGTTCTATTTTTGTTGACTGCACTGGAACGCATTTCACTGTTGTGAGCCATTGGAATACATAGAAAACACACTGTGTATGCATTTTTGATACAGATTAAAAAAGCATTGAAGTTCATCTGGTGTGAACCAGCCCTACGCTATTAAAAATGTATGAATTTAAAAAGTGTTAAGGCAGACACCACATACAAAAATATTTTTTGTACAAGGACTGAAATGTAAAATGACTAAAAACTCATTGTCAAGAATGAAGAAAAAGATTTACTGGTTACATCATTTAGGTTATTTTGGAATAAACATTCACTCTACTTTTGTAAGCAACTTTGCTTTGTTATATTATTTATTTAAAGCTGCATTAAACCCAAAACTAAAAATGTATTTTTATTGCAGCTTACCAATCATTATATGTGGTAGCTGCATTCGTTTTCACTTTCTTTGGCTTTTCCCCTCTGTTTTTACCTTGCGACCTAGCCAATAACATACCTCCCATATTAGTGAGACATGACTCTGGAGGACTGAGCACAGGAGGCAAAGCAGACAGCAGCATTCTTAGTGTGCGGTAGGTTAGTGTAAACTATATTAGCAGATTTGAATACAATAACAAATTGATGCCAGTTTTACACAGGTTTTACATGAATAAATAAAAGCTGATAATTTTAATCACCCTTGCCAGTGGTAAATGGATTATCTTATCCATGTAAACCGGTACATTCTGCTGGAGAGCATGTACTTTTGAAAAACAACAGCCTTGCTTGTCGGATCACCAGATAAAATAGAAGACAGAAAGCCTAAAAAAGGAAACTAATGCAGGTATTACATCTAAGAATTGGTAAGCTGCAATATAAATACTGTGCAGGGGCGGACTGACCATTTGGAAACTCGGGCACTATCCGAGGGCCCGGAGTCAGTAGGGGGCCCCATGAGATGCCCCTGGTACCTTTTTCATAGGCTTTTTTGAGTTTGGGCAAGGACACAGGGGCCCCATGATCCCCTATTGCCCGGGGGCCCCATGAGTTGTCAGTCAGCCGCTGATACTGTGTATGCATACTTCTGAGTTTAATATTGCTTTATCTAGACCTACATAGAATTTAAGTATGTTAAAGTACTATGTACATAATAAAAACAGTAACAATAAAAAGGCAGGTCCTTCTAAATCACTTGTCACTTTTTCTAGTTAATTTCTACCAAACTATTTTCAGGAAAATGTTGCAACTGTAAGCTTACATATGAAAAATATTCAAATAAATTGTATGAACAGAGTGGGGAATAAAGACTGACACTGATACCTATGAAAGTGGACCTAACATTTGTAAGCACTCTTCACTACCATCACCACTATGAGTCTGGGTTCCAACGGACTTCATTAACTTTAGCATATTTACATGGTGGTTTTGTGTTGAAAAAATAAATTCTGCATCATTTTTGGGTCCTTAGGACTAACTACTATACCTAACGCACTGTCAAAAGGTAACCATACCCTAGTGCAGTGTTTCTCAACCTTTTTTCAGTCCAGGCACCCTTTAAAATTCTGCACAATCTTGAGGCACTCTTTAAATTCTGCTCAATCCCAAACTAAACTAATACTTTTACATATCACAGTAACATCCACACACGTAAGATACCCAACACTGGAGATGATTTATTCTGCCAAAGCATATATACAATTTTTGGACAATTTTTAGAATTGAAGCTCATGTAAGTACATTTCTGGTGAGATATTGACCATTGGCAAGTAAGTTTCTAAACCAGTTCAGCTCTTTGGAAGTATTACGTACGTCCAAGGGGTGAACCTTTAATCAGAAGCTGATGGCTACAGTAGCAGCCATCAGCTTGCGTGTTTTTCCTGTTTAAAAGTGAAAGTGATGATCCATAGCTGGCAATCACCTTCACAGAGCCTGCAGCAGTCTATTAGACCCC